TATTTGATAGTCTTGCTTATGGCTTTCTGGGGTGGGGAGCACATCCCACAGCAGTACTGCCCTAATGCATTTAAGACAAAACACTGAATAGAAAAACCTTTATCAGAGCCCTTGTTTTGCTGTAAAGGAGTGATTGGGCAATAAATCCCGCCACTCCTTTCAGTCACATCCTCTGAACAGCAAAGCTCATTTTTTTTCAATATGAAACTCAGATGCCAAAATAACTATACTGAATGCTTACAATCACATCTGCAATAGAGCTTACATGGAGATAAAAAAGCTTCAAAAATTACTTGCCTCTAAAGCAGACTGCAGACAAAGCTTAATTTAACAAATCTCATATTTTTGAGCTACTGCTTCATGGAAATCACCTGTCCACCACTTGCCAATGCCTGCATCACTACTCAATCAAAACATTTCTTTCTCCTCCAAATGCCAGCAGGATTACAACACTTTACCTTTCCCCTGGTTTATTCTCCAACAATTGATCAAACTTTAAGTTTGTATAGCTTACAAAGCATTTTTCCCCACAAACCTGGCTGCAGAGACATCCTCATTCTCCAACAGAATGGAAAGATGGATTGTTTTTCACCAGCTACATTCCCACATAAGCCAATTCAGATGCCCACAGAAGATTTCTTACAAATAAAATCAAGCACCTAAATAAACAACAGAAACACTTCTGAAAGCCCCTCCCTGAGGACAGCTCACATTGCTGTACTTCAATCAGCAGGGATGTGGTTCTTCTGAAGGCAAGGCCCCTGAACTCGTACCCCAAGCTGCTTTCTGCACTGCCAGATTCTTTAACTACACTCTAAGCAGCCATGCCCCAGTGTCTGTACTGGTGGGCCAGGGCAAGAACCAAAAGCAGCTTATTTAAGTTTCTGACTGCAGTGACCAGCTTCATTGATGCCATCCAGTCTCCCAGGCTGACTAACACTAATTTTCTTCTTCCTTTTCCACTAATTGTCTTTTTCCCTTTTCTTCCTTTAAGTTTCAGTTACCTGCATGAACTAAAACTGAAGTGTACAAGAACGCTAACCTACATGATCAAGTCAGACTATCACACTAATCCACCTACCATCTATTACTTGGTGCATAATGAATTCACAACAAATTGATTTTACAGAGTATGAGAGTTGATGTTCCTGATGAAGTTTCTACAACACCTACATTTCCAGCCAATATCCACATGCAAAAAATCAGTTTCAGACCCCAAACCCAGTCTGCAGAGACAGCAAGCAGAACAACCATTTTCAAACACTTTTATTTAACATGCTGAACTGCTACTTGAGATTTTATAATGACTTTTCAGACTAGTTACCAAGAAAAACACTATTACAGAATTCTATACACTAACAACAAGTACCAAAAGACGGTAAGCCACAGCAGCAGACAATAAAACCACCACAGGGCATAAGAAAGGGCTGAAAACATTCATCTACTACGTTAGCATTTACAAAAATTAAACATACACAGAGCAAGTCCCTATGCAGGTCTCTGTGGAGAAGTCCAACCTACCTTAGCTGCTGTGATGTTCAACTCCCGCAGCTGAGCTTTTAAGTCGGAGTTCATTTCCAACTCCAGCAGAGCCTAGAAAAGTGAAGTTGCAAAATAATCCATTGCATATGTTTTAATTCATAAGAACCCTTGAGCCTGAAACCTGTCCACAGTGCCAGGGAGCAGCTATGAACTTTTTACCACAGTCAATATCAAAGACTTAACTTCCTGTAAGTCACACTGACATGCAACAAGTTCAGTTGTTGGGAACAGAGGCTAACCGGCCCATTTCCCAAGTAAAACTAGGAAAGAGAACACATTTAGACAGCCTCAACCTCACAGTTTAGGCTCTGGACAACTATCACAACACTCCAACTATCACTACAAGTCTCCGTAACTTGCAGTAAGTTACCAAACCACAGAAGGAAAAGCCACACACATACCTGGGATATACCAGACTCGAACTCATCTGGCTTCTCGCCATTAGGCTTCACAATCTTGGCGCTAGAGCTGAACATGGCCTTTCTGCAACGCAAAAGTACACCTCGGCTGTGACCGGGCACATGTCACCTGCTACAGCCAGGACTCTGCAATCCCGCTGCGCAGTCAGACGCTCCAGAGCGAAGGTAAAGTGCTCCAGGTCCCACGCCAGCCCCAGCACACCGCTCCAGGCGGTGCCACCACGACACAGGAACACCGTCCCGGTAGCTGGGCCCTGCCCACCACGGGCCCGCTCCGAGGCCCCGGGAGCCCAAGGGAGGCGGCCCCGCCGCTCCCGGAGCCCCACGTGTCCCCAGCGGGCGCTCGGGCGGCGCTCCCGGGCCCCGCTCCCAGCTCCAGCCCCCTCCTCCCGCCTCCCCCGGGTCGCCAACGGGGGAGGGCGGAGGGAAACCCCGCCGGCCCCCACCCCGGCGCCGGGCGCCCCGGCGACCATCGGGCCCCGACAAGGCGGTAATCGGGCACATCCCCCCGCGGGGGTGTCGCAGGCGGCTCCGCTCCGTGCCCGGCAAGGTATCGTCGCAGCCCCGGGGACGGAACGGCAGCCCCAGCCCGGGCACCCACCTCGCTCCGCGCCGGCCGGGAAAAGGGAGAGCTCTCGCGAGACCCGCGCTGATCGCGACCCGCGAAGGTGCTCGCCCCGCCCACGCTGAGGTGAAGCCAGACCCGGAAGAAGGGCAGAGCGATAGCCGCGTGTCCTGGAAGCACGCCCAATTTCTACTACTGCGAAGCACGAGCGGACATTGAGAGTCCTGGCACGGGGGGCAGGGTTTGCACATGCGCAATGCCAGCGGGTCGGGCGGCAGGAGCTGCCCTCAGCCTTTCTTGGGGATGCGCTTCCTGTGGCAGGGAGCGAAGGAGGGGCAAGAAAAGGTTATTCCGGTCTGTTTCTCGCTGTTGCTGCAAGCCTTCGCCGCCACTTGCTTATTTGCGGGCCCAGGCGGCGTGAGGTGGCAGAATTCCCGGCTTGCGGTGTGGAGATGCTGCTCCTGTAGAGAATCACCGGGATCTCAGCAGCTTGGTTCGCGGGTCTCCCCCCCGGAAGGGCTGTGCACAGCGGCGGCCACCGGCCCTGAACAGCGGCGGGGGAGCGGGCGGTGTTTGTCCTCCCCTCTCCGTCTCATCGCTCCGCGTTAGTTCGGCGGGCTGGGAGTTCACCCAGGATGCTCATGCCTTTCCAGATAGAGGACACTTGCTGGAACAGTGTTGGTGCAGTCACCCCTGCCCCCAGCGGGGCGTTGTGCTGGGGAGACACGGCCAAAGCCGTGCCAGGGCCTGTGATGGCAGCCAGAGAGTGTGGGTGATCATCGAGTGCCAGCACAGGGCCGTGCCTGGGCTTTGGTTTGGTTTACCTCTATAAACACGACCTCTCAGCTGCTTCTGCTAAGGCAATGTCACAGCGATCAGTTACTAGACTGCCGTTAGACAAGAAATAAAGCCTGAGTCTTCAGCTGTGTTCAGGTACTAATTCAAAATGTGAGAGTTCTGGGCTTGAAGTATTCTGTCATCACTGGAAGCACTTTTTATTATCTACCGTGTTACCTAACAAAGAAGGCTCTAATAACACTTGGGTTGCACACTGATTAAAAAAACAAGCTGTACTCTAGTTCCAAAAGAAGTGACTTGCATGTTGATTCAGGTGGAAGTGCCTGGCTGTGCATCTGAAGTGAAGCTAAAACCTTGCCTGGACAAAAAATCCCCACCTTGGCACTTCCCTGTTGGCTGATTTAGGGTCCCCACTCAGAGGCAGGTGTGCAGCTCTTGGCACACACTGTCCAGAGAGGTTAGAGTGAGGGGTCGGGTTCAGAGCACTGGTTCTGTGAGCAGGTTCCCTGATTGAAAGGTAAAAAAATAAGAAAGATAACAAGTAATCATCTCAGCAGTCCAGTAGTCTGCACTCAGTTTATGCTGTGAAATCATTTATGAGGGGGATAGGTGGTGTGTCAATAGATCAAAACAGGACTGTTCAGAGCATTAATGAAGTTGCAATGTGCCTATAGCTTCCCACCTCCATCTCTTAGTGCTACTGAATAGACCAGGATGCTGTATAACAGCAATTACAGAAGAAGGTGTGTAGACGGACACTGAATTTATGTTAGAAGGATGCAGTGTCAAGGTCTATGTGGCCTTTACCCGGTCAATAATGCCTGGTACCCAAAGCAGGTGACAGTGATTTTCAAGAATCACTGTGGGCATGTGATCTTTAAAAAAAAGTTATGTCACTGCAAAGTAACATAATTAACAAGATTCTTATGCCATGCAGACTCAGAATGGGCAGGGTGAAGAAGTGGAAAGAATGAATTAGGTATGTAACAAAAGTATCCCAACAACAATAGGATAAGATCTTGTGATGTTAGAATATAATAATAAGTAATATAATACATGGAAGAAACAGAAAGATGGCAAGGCTTGTTGGGGTCATAGTAACTCCAGAACTGGAAGCAAAACTGAGTCTATTACTAGTTCACTTCTCTGAACAAGGCTTGTACAACCACACAGGTTCTAAAGCTCATGGATAGGCTGTTCCTCTGAGGGTTGACTGAAGGCTGGGATGATTCTGGGGGATTACTGCTTTACAGCTTCACTGACACCTAGTTTTACACTGAAGTATGGGCAAGTATTTTGTTCTGCAAGATCTCAGTTCTGAGAGGGCCACCCTTGTAAATCTGAATACAGCGCTCTGCAGCTCTGGCACACTGTGGTCAGCTTTTTAGTGCATCTCTGTCAGGGCTACAAGGGAAATCCAGCCGCACATATACACTGGGCTGTTTCTGGAGGCGACCATACCAGTGCCCCCATCTTCACTACTTTGATCTCGCCAGCAGCTCAGTTGAGATACTGAATTTGGCACATACTCAGACCTCCCCACTTTGGTCTCCAGGCACACAACACTCCAGATACGAGGATACATGGCAGCAGGTTGCAGCTGGGCACAGCTGAACTTCAACCTGCTCGGACAAGCATCTCATTAATGCACATTAATATCTCACAGATGGGTGCCAAGAGGATGGTACCAGACCATTTTAAGTGGTGCTCAGCAACAGGAAAAGGAGCAATGCCTGTAAACTAAAACACAAGAAGTTTCACCTCAACATGAGGAACAACTTTACATGGAGGGTGGCAGAGAACTGAACAGGCTGCCTAGGGAGGTTGTGGAGTCTCCCTCTCTGGAGACATTCAGAACGCACCTGGAAGTGTTCCTGTGTCACCTATTCCAGGAGACCCTGCCTTAGCAGGGGGTTGAACTGCAGATTTCCAGAGGTCCCTCCCAACCCTAATGATCCTGTGATTCTGTGAAGGTGTTTCTCCTCACTTCAGGGGCCATCTCGGCACAAGGCTCGGCTGGAACACGCTTTCCTGGAGCCCTTGATTTGAACAGCAGGATAAGAACCCGCTTAATGACTTTGTTCAGCCTCCGACTTTTGGACAATGCTACGCATATCGACGCACCTGAGAGATCTCATTCGCCTTTTAACAACTGGGGCTTCCAGAATGAGGTTGTTTGCTTAAACCGCTGCGATCTCACACACCTCGTGACCCACCTCCAAAACAACAGCTGACTTAGGATTGTAAAATACAGCTATTGTCGGGGGGAGGGAACAAAAACAAAGAAAAAGCAAGCGCGGACAAAACCCACGCCCTGGGCCTTTCCGGTACTTTGTCCTCCCCGCCGGCCCGTAGGATCCCTCAGCGCTCCCATGACGCGCAGGCGCGGCGGTGCCGGGGGGGCGGGCAGATGGCGGCGGGGTCGTGATGCTGCGCTGGTTCGTGGCCCTGCTCAGCCCCTGCTTCGCCACCAAGGCCGGCTCCATGTTCTACGCGGTGCGCTCGGGCCGCCGCACCGGCGTCTACCGCACCTGGTGAGCGACGGTCGCGCCGGGAGCCCGCCTGGCCCGGCCCGGCCGCGCCTCACCGCCGCCCGCTCTGTTTCAGGGCGGAGTGCCAGGAGCAGGTGAACAAGTTCCCCTCCGCCAGCTTCAAGAAGTTCGCCAGCGAGAAGGACGCCTGGGCCTTCGTGCGCGGCGGGCTCTCGGGGCAGCAGCAGCCCCAGCCCGAGCTGGCAGGTACCGCGTCCCGCCGGGGCTGAGGGAGGGGCGGGAGCGGGACAGGGCCCGGCCCGCCCGGGCTACACGGCCGCTGCGCCGGGACGGGCACTGGCTCCTTCTCGTCCTGTCACTGGCGGTACCGACACGGCGATGGATGTGCCAGTGCAGCGAAAGTGTTTCTGTGGCTGCTTGGACAACAGTGCTTTTACCGTGTCCGTCTTAAGGGCCGTTGCATGTGTGTCTCCTCTTCAGTTTGATCTAGGATGAAGAATGACTGCTGTATTCTATAGTACTTTTTTTCCTAATAGCTCGGGGTGGTGTCAGGTAACAGAGTTACATTGCTAAGAGATGATAACCACTGTTGTCTTCAGAATTAGTCCAAATAAAACTGCATCTTGTATGTATTGAACTTTCTGTCTTTTTTGTTTTTTGGAAGGTGCACTTTGTCTTCCAGCTGTAACACAGGAAAATGGTAGCCACAGAGAGGAACTAAAATCCTTGTGTTGCAGTACGTGCAAAAGGCCATATGAGCAGTCTACAAATGAAGAACAGGTTGCTAAGCGTGTAAAACATGATGAATTATTCTCAACATACTCAACACCAACAGTCAGTGAAGATAAATTTTCATATATGGGTGAGGTCTTTGATAAGTCCTTTAATTCTTTTAATTTCTTTGGACTCTTTCATAAGCAACAAGTGTAACTATTAGAAAGCTTTCAGGGAGATTTCTGTATGGCAGCATTAGGCTCGGTGTTTCTTTTTAAAATGGGAATGTGAACCATAATCTACTGTTTCACATTGTCTTTTAGTGTAATTTTAATTGGCTTCAAGTGGAATCAAGATACAGTTTAATTATATTATTATAGGTGTGATCTTATGTGTGTCTGGGTTACAGACTGTATTTAAATATACAGATGTAGCTGGGAACTTTTGAGGTTGGCTAAAGGAGACAGGGACTATTGCAAGAAGTATGGGACTTGGGACAGAAGCTGTTTTAAGGCTGACTGGTTTGGCAGAAGTGAGGGTGTGAAGCTGCAGTGGGACTTCGGGTGTTCTGCACTACTAATTCACCTGGCTTCTGTAGTTGACTTTCGGAAGGGCTCTCTGGGAAGGGAACTTTTGGGGTTTAATGTACCAGCAGACATATCTTTCAGCTTAAAGAGTCTGTGTCCTTGAAGGGGCACTTGAACTTCTGATTTTGGTAATTTTTTTGTAGGTGACTTTGTAGTTGTTTATACAGATGGTTGTTGCTCAGGTAATGGACGTAATAGGGCACGTGCTGGAATAGGTGTCTACTGGGGACCAGGCCACCCTTTGTAAGTAGCTGGATAGATTTTTTTTTTTTAATGAATATATTACTGGTTGTTTTTATGTAGTTTACAATACTAGCCTCCTTTTAAATATGAAACTCTGCTGTTGAGACTCATAATGACAGTGTTCTGAGACTAATTAGTTACTGAGGGGAAAAGAGAAATCATCTTTTCTGGGAAAAATCAACTGGAAATAATGTGGGGCTGAAGCTATAATTCGAGTAATGCAGAAAGTTTTAAAATAGAAGTAGATGTGCATGGAAGACTATGAATGTAATTGCATATTGATGGCAGGTCCAAATGTGCAGATTACTCTGTGCAGGTGGAAGCTAGATCTAGAATATATTCATCCTCCTTTACAAAAAGAAAAGTATCTCTCTTGTATTTATTTTTTTAGTGTGTAGTCATTATCCACTCTTGTGAATATTTGGGGTAACTAATCTACTATTCATTCCTTGGACACAGAAATACCAGTGAAAGACTTCCTGGACGGCAGACTAATCAAAGAGCAGAAATACATGTAAGTAGTAAATGTTCTGAAATGCTTCTCCACATTAGACTGCACTCATCGCTGTTTCAACTCTGATCTTCAGAAACTGGTTATGGAGTGGTGAGGGAAGTACACAAAGTATCCAGAGTTATGACTTGAAAGAAATAGTTCTCTTCAAGTTTTATTGGTCTTTATTGGTTTTGAACAAGGTCATTCACCTTGAGAATTCCCAAATGTCATCAAGCACAGCTATTTAAAACAGCCTTACATTAGGAAAGCCTGGCTCAAATATGTATACATTGCCTTGCATTTTTAATGTGTATGTTTCAGACATTGGAGTAAGGGCTGCTGAGTAGAGGTTAAGGGGAGAATCAGCTTCTGAGGATGATAGGATCAGAGTGTCATAATCCTCAGATAAATATAACACACAATTCTAGGCTTCTGACTAACTTCTGTTGGCAACAGCGGATTTAGTCTTCCCTTCTCACTTCCTTTTAATTATGGTACTGCTACTATCCCACACTACAAGTTTGGGAAAGAACTCAAATGGGGAATTGATCTTAAAAGTACAAGTTAATTTTAGTGAGAGACAAGTAGAGGTGGTGTTGGTGTGCCAGCAGTCAAACTTGTCACTACAGAGCTTTTCACCTCTACATCCTCACCCAGCCATGTCTCCCTGTTATATTTCAGAGCACCAAATAAAACCCCAACCTGTTAAGAGTTCCAGACTGTTGAAACCAATGCGAATCCTTCCTCTTAGCTAAGGAGAAAATGCCTAAAACTTGGTGTGCAGTTGATAGAGATTGTGTTAGAAAATGCATAATTTTGGATCCTCTACTCTAAAGCATGTTGGTAACCATTGGTAGGGAGATTACAGTAATATTCTTCATAGTTCTATGTTAGCATGAGGTACTTTGTTGGTATTTTAATTGCATGTGGTCAAAATCCTGTTCTGAACTGTGACTGTATTGAAACATTCCTAAGGCAGCCTGCAAAGCGATAGAGCAAGCCAAGAGTCAAAACATCAAGAAACTGATCATCTACACTGATAGCAAGTTCACTATTAATGGTAAGTTAATGATTTTATTTTTCCTGATACTTAAAGACACACTGCTTGCTCTTTCATTACATAAGGCCCACAGAACATGCTGAGTCCTGGAGAGAGGGATATAAGGACAGAATGTATAACTTAGTGCTCATAACTGCTTGGGGAAATACTTAGAATCCTCAGGCATTGCTTGCGTGAATTATGAGTAGCGTCAAAGTGCCTGTTACAGTAAAGGCTGATAGAAGTAGCCACAGGATTTTTGTCTTGAGATGTTCAGTATGACACAAGGTCTAGAAAAAATGTCATTCATGTATACACTGTTAAGGCTGTTCTCAGGAGATTACTTGGAAGTTGGTGTAGTAACCCTGTAGGTTTCTTGTTGTTTTGCTTGGATTGGAGAGGCTGTCTTAACACGCACATTGAAGTTCCCTTGCTTCCAAGCTTTTAGGCTACACTGGAAGACTAGCCAGAGATCATATGTGCTCATAGTAGGTACTGAAAGTTTCACCTTTATCCAAAGACTTGGAAAATTTAATTTTATTCCTTATAAATACCATATGAAGCAGCCAATAAGACTTAATTTCTGAATAAAACTTTTTCCTCTTTCCTCTATATTCCATCTATACTCGAGATCTTCAGATTTTGCTCCCGCGATAATCTGAACTGCATATGTATTTTTTTCTTTGTATGTCACAATTTTACTAAGGGGGTACATGTGTTTTCTGTTTTCAGATCACTTTGGAGGTTTTATTTTGTGGAGTTTTTTTGAAATAACATTAAACAAAAACTTTTGATTAAAAATTAAGTGTTGCGCTTTTACTCTTTGTTTTTGCTTGCAGTTTGCTCTTGCATTCTGGGTCACTGAGGTGCAGGTTCCATTCTTGTTTAACTGAAGTTATTCTGCAAATGTGTCTAAGAGTTATTTTTTAAAATGCTGGAGAAGGAGGCTTGTGGTTAAATACAAATGGATGTGGTTTGGTTTTTAGGAGGTTTTGTTTGCAAGATTTGTGATTTCCTATTTGGTTCAGGTCTGCTTGTCATAAAAACACTAAGGATGTCTTACATTGTCCACACCAGCAAAGATCTTAAAGAAAAATAAAAAAGAATCCTTATTTAAGGAGTAATATAGTAAATTTTCTGGCCAGCAAGGGATGGACAGAATGTTAAGTTCTGTAGAAATCTGCTTACATGGTCCTTCTCTGAAGGATTCTTTTTAGTGTACAGAAGCCATAAAACAGCTGGCCATCTGTTTTTCCCCTATGCACGTGTCTCCTCAATTTCTCTAAACAAGCAAAGCAGTAGATCTGTTCTAGCTTACTGTACCATCAAGCATATCCTTAGCTTCAGTTGACTGAAGTTCATGAGATAATTTTGGTGTAATGCATGTATAAGATTGTAGTCTTTAAATTAAATACCTGTTTGGGAAAACATGTTTGGGTAATTCAATTAATAATGGAAAAATACAGTCCTGAAAGACAGCAATAGAAAACCAAACAAGAATATCTTCTATCTCCACTGTCTTTGCTTGAGACTTTTACAGTTATTGTCTTATTAAAAGGCTATTGGCTCCATCTTAATCCTTGCTGGCTTCCTTAATAGCATTTTTATGGTGATGCTCCTTTTGCATAGGTATTACAAGTTGGGTTGACAACTGGAAGACAAATGGCTGGAGAACAAGTTCAGGAGGAAGTGTAATAAATAAAGAAGATTTTGAAAGACTTGATAAGCTATCAAAAGACATAGAAATTCAGTGGGTAAGTTCCTCATTTCTTATTTTTAATGACATCTTAAACACACGTCTTTAAAACCTTATAAATATGACCATAACTAAGAATTTTGTAGAGCATAATATTGTATGTCCATAGATAAAAC